AAAAAAAAAAAAAAAAAGAAATGTACAATAAAATGATGTAGGGGAAAGGGAAATATAATTTGCATATTTAATGGCTCATGCTCGAGATGAAAGGGTAAAAATAATCTGCAAATACTTTTTCTTTTCGGTTTAATCTCTGAAATTACAAAACATTAGTATCATCCATTACGAAAAAAGATAACGCCAAATCCTAACAAAATCACACATTTACTGAAAATGGATTTTATTCAAGAACAAGGCAGTTACACAAGTTTGTTTTGTCTTTTTAATGCCGCTTTTAAACGTTATGTTATTTCCTTCCTCGCAGTTTCAACACTTTCGCGTTCTCGTTATCTTTTTTTATCTGTTATGCAATCTGTTTTGGATCAAACAAGATAAAATCGATATCCAGGATCTCAGTAAATAAGTATTTTGACTGAAGTTGGTAGACACAGTCCCTAAAGTGAGTCAGATAACCTTGGACAGTTCCTCTCTGAGACAACGATGTCAAGTTATATGTTCAAATATTTTAATCTTTTTTTATGACATTGCTGGGTTTTTTGTTTTTTTTTTCGGTTTTGCTAAGTTTCGTTTTGTTCCATCCTTTGCGTTGTTCAAAAGTAGCCTGTAAAACGAAAAGAAGCTTGAAGATGCACTTTTATAAAACATATTTAGAGGTTAAAGTTAAACCCCGCGGTGTGGTGTCGTGCAAAAAGCTCAGGCTTAGCTAGACAGAGAGACTGATTAGTTTGGCCTGTGTCCAGCTTCCATCTATTACTACCAAAACGCATTTCGCCTCATCATTCCGGGTATACGGATTACCTCCCACGGGTTCCTGAAGCTAAGTGGTAGAGCGATAAACAGAAGGTCATACGTCATAGGTTGCACTCCCGTTAAGCGAACAAGGAAACGTTTTTCCGCGTAGCTTTTGCCATGTTAAAAAAAAATAGCTCCTCAAAACACAAATTTTCGGGCAAAAACCAGAGGAAAGACTTTTTTGTGTAAGATTATTTTCACTTTTCTTTTACGAAATTTCTAAAATGTGGAAAAGACATTGAGAAATCTGGAAAGCAAATCAGACCATTTTTCAGGGACCGTTTTAATTTTTTTTTAAGTTAGTGTATTTAATCTCAGTCCGTAACTAAATAATAAAAATAAATAGATGTAGAAAGCGCAATTTTAAAATAAAGTGGCCATTTGTTTATTTCCTAAGCTAATTGCGTTGAAAACATTGAAATGGGTCCCGCACGCAAGCATGCTCGGCGGATCAGATTTCAAAGGAAACGAGTTTCCCGTAGGATTTCCTGGGCTTTGTCCATGCCACAATTATAAACAGAGATGCAAATAAACCGAGTTCACAAATCGTAGTGTAATTCGGCGTCTCCTCGGATTTTCAACGCCCCGTGACCTTCACAATCTAAGCACAAAACGAAGACCGAAAAATGTGGCGACTCCTAGCGACAGGGCTATATTTCGCTTGTCTTATTCATGAGGTAAGTCAAATACCATAAATTATACACCTAGGTCAAAACATTTATCTTGTGCAGACCTGAGGTCATTTTCAACCTCTATTGCTAATACATTTGTGCATTAATTTAATATGTTTGTCGTATTCAGTCCTGCTAACATGTATAGGCTTGTTTAAGCTAGCAGGATAATTTACCTTGAATAGATCCATATGACATTTTCTTATGACATAACGTTTTGAACGAATCGACTCTGCAATCTCTGTGTCACATTTTGTCCAGGTTAGAACGTCTTTAAAAGCAGAATTTCACACAATGCTGTCCAAAGATGAAAAGAAAAGATATTTACACGCAGATTCCCAAGATACCGGTAAGAAAGTAGTCACCCGCCTTCACGTGAAAACATGTCTTCGAGATACAAGGAATGTGTCATTAGTCGAACGCCTTGTGGCAATGCGGATCGCGATGTTGAAAACTTGCTATGATAGTATCAATTTTTCTTCGAGTCTGTTCGCGAAGGGGAAACAACTAAAGGACAAAGAATTGTTTTTATGCCTAAAAGGCGGAATTAAGTGAAACGTGAAAGAGAAAAGCATCACAAAAACAAGGGAAGATAATCGTGTCGAGGGTTCCTGCTGCGCCAGTCCACGTTACGTCATTCGCCGTCAGCGGGAAGGTGTTTTCCTTGGTTGATGGGAGAGGTAGAGTGTGAGAAGGAGGGCGGGGAGGCAGGGGAGGGGACGTTCTAAAGTGCAGCCTGTTCAGCTGGGTGAGGTATTAACTCTGATCCGAGATAGCGATGCAAGAGTTACACTAGTAAGGAGCTCAACGTCTTCTGAAGTCAGTCTAACAATAGACGCTTTGCATAAATGGCGCTTAACTGTGAATAAAAATACCGTTATATATCCTAAGCTCGTGTTTATGTTTCCAGACAAAGGTTTGGAATGTATAAGTATTGTTATTCAAATATCGGCGCCATTTCTGCAGTGTGACTGTTAGCTAATTGCTTCTTTACACTGTCACGCCATCAAAAATAAATATCGTAAACATTCAATAAATTCAGTCAAGAATCTGGAATATGCTAGATGATTGATATATAAACAACCTCGCCAAGATTTAGGTCTGTGTGGTTTTTCATTCTAGCGTTGTACGAAAAAGTGTTTCACCGAAATTTAAAGGACTTTACATATGGAAGTTGGTGTCAAGTAACAGAAACATCTGTCATTGAGTTTTGCCATTGAAACGAGAAATTATTACTCTACAATTCCGACACATTAAAAGTAATAATTCGTCTAGGGTAAAAATTGTTCAGTTGCCAAAAACTTGAGCGATAACTCATCTTTTGACCTACGCGAGAGCCATCTCGGGCTGCTATTGTAATGTCACGCAACGCGTAAACTTGGAAATTCAAACGTCCTCTATAATATATATAGATAATCCCTTTTCTTTCAAGTTCCAGAGTATGACATAACCCGAGTCCTTAAGTACAGAAGAAAACGAAGTCCATTGTCGCCTCAACATGAATTCAGTCTGTTTGCATTTGGGAGAAACTTCAACCTAATGTTAGAACCTAATGATGACGTCATTAGCGATGGCGTGCTGCCCATAGAGAGATTGACCGCAGATGGACTGCTGACAAAAGAAATTCATTTACCCCAAGGAAGATTCTATGTAGGTCACGTGACGTCCGATCCTGAATCCCATGTGGCTGTTCGGGAAGCCAGTAACAAGGGCCAACTGGTAAGTACTCTTTTTCTTTGGCCATCGTAGGTTGATAAGAAATAACACACAAACTGCGGTGATAAACATGGTAATAAAACGCATGTTAAAAAACAAAGTTCATTTACTTGACGTTTCGTATGTTTCAACATACATCTTCAGAAGTGACCGTTAGCAATAGAAGTAACAACTAAATTTCAATTTAAAATAAGTAACTAATCTGTAAGAAGCCAATATCCAGTGATGTTCTGTTGAAGCGCGATAGATCGTTCTCGTAATCCCTGACAATTTTCAACGTCTCCTGACCATACCGCACATAAACAATGTCGTAAATACTCTTTTTCTTTGACCATCGTAGCTTGATAAGAAATAACACGCATACTGCGGTGATAAACTGGTAAGACTTGTAACTGCCCTCCACTTCCTTCTCCCCCACCCCCAAAAAAGAAAAACTCCTAGCGCTCCGGTTAGCGTAAATATCACTGATTCGACAGTGCTTAGCTCTCAATAATTGCAAGGATTAATCCTTTACATGTACAGACTACCTTGTCAGTGAGGCAAGCTTCGAACGTTGACACTCTTAAGCGTTTAGTTAAGTCTCGTTTGTTCTCTTGGGCCTTTCGTTAAGATTTTTTTGTAAGTCCAATTCTCGAATATATTATAGGATTTTAGGTCTTAAATTTCAAGATGCGTTGGTAGTATTAATCCTCAATGTGTAATTTGTAAGAATTTATCTAATTGTAATGCCCTTTTGACTAAATTAATAAATGGTATTATTATTATTATTATTATTATTGCTTTGATGAACCACACGATGTTTTTGAAGCTCGTTATTTAATGAAGAAAATACATGTTTCGGATGAGACATCATCCATCGTCAGTTGTACAGTGATAAGTAAAATGAAATTATGCAATAAATAGCATGACAAAGTGAGATATTAACAAGGATAATTAAGGATTAAGATCAGGATTAAGGATTAGATTTCTCATTGCCTCTTACCCGAAGTATTACTTCGTCATTTCGCCATTTCGTGTTTTAAATACGCCCTTATTTTTTTTATAACTGCTATTTTTCAGAGCGGCGCCATAATGAGCGATGATCACATGTACGAAATAGAGCCTTTACCAGATCACCTCCTCAAACGCGCGGCATTGAAGGGGAATGGGTACCACGTAATATCCAGAAGAAGTATTAAAGACCTTACGAACAATGAAAAAAAGTCAATTCCTGCACGAGGTAACAGATGTGCAGTTTTTCTTACTGTCTTTTTAAGGGTGTAGATTGACAGGCGTAAGTGAGTAGCCAGTAGTTGGTCATTTGTAGGGTTTTGTTTGTTTTTAGATCAGTCGTTTGTACAAGGACAAGTCAATTGGAATGCAAGTGTCCTGGGTGCTGGTGAAAGTTTTCCTGGTGGAAGGATATGATGTAAGTAACATTTACTTAGCAGGGAGTTGAATATGGCCGGGCTTTTGACACAACAAAGGAATCATCATCATCATCATCACAGGAATTTTTAGAAATTTTTCTAACTTTTTATTGTAACTTTTTACATATTGTAACTTTTATTGTTCATACTTTGTACTAACTTTAGATGTGTTATAATTACTCGTAGATTCTTAGCACAGAGGGCCACTACCTAGTTTATCGGTTTATAGTGTCATGTGTCACCCTCTCTAAATAAAGTTGATATATTGATTGATTGGTCATCATCATCATTATAATTATTTTCTTCTTCTTCTTCTTCTTCTTCTTCTTCTTCTTCTTTATAAGAGGAAGTGTCCATCACCTGAAGACGTGGTTTTCAGAGAGCACCTCTATAAAATAAAGAAGTACAAAACAAATATTCGAGAAAATAATGAAAGAATTTTTTGTTTGCCGGCCAGAAAACTTGTGGATAAAATGTACAGAAAACAGAATACAGCACCAACCCGAACAATGTCCAATACTGTCTTTCGAATGATTTCTGCTCAAGTTGTCGAAATATGCGTTAGATCAGCAACAGCAGTCTTTCTCACTTAAGTTAAACTAATTTCTCATCGGAACGATCCTGCTACACTTACTAAATAGTCAAGAAGCAGGTTTTGTTACAACGACTGAGAGATGTACACTACCTGTGTTGCTTTTCATTACCAGGCCGGCCTTGATTTCACGGCCAACAACATCACGGGCGGTGGCAAGTACCTTAGAAAGTTTGCAAATTGGGCCTCGACACGAAACAAGCCTGAAGGAGAAGCTGAACATTACGATCAAGCCGCCATGTTGACAAGGTTTGTACCTGCGGGTAATACATGACTTATGTGTAATATGAGGGGTAAGGAGATAGGAAGAGGGGAGGAGTGGCTCACATTTTCATCACCTGAAAGGGGTGACATAAGACTAGCCCGCATGCGGGTTTCCTTTGTTGCAGGCTACAGCAGCCCTCATGAGAGCCATTTAAAGTGTCTCCAGGGAAGCCGACTGAGGCGAAGAAACCTCCTTTCTCAGGGTAGGCTCAGGGTCTAGCCGTGAATTTTTCTGTGCGCCTGTAAACACCCACTGCTGGAAACTGAGCCTATTCACATGGGAGCAATGCTATAAGGTCCAAGTTGTGTTAAAGTACAATATTATGAAGTGTTTGTTGTCTTTCTGTAGGAGGCTCTGCGGTCTCAATAGCTGTTATATAGATGGTAAGAGAAATAATTATGTAATGCACGTTTAAATAGTGTAATATTCTACCCTGGGTATCGTTATTAATGACATGGTAATGGCCTGGGACAAGCCTAAGACCAGGCGAAAATAGAATCGGACAGCTAGAGCAAGCCCGACTTACCCGTTGGGTGAGGTAATGGGTCGCCAACCTCTTTGCGTTCACGACCTCAAGTAGAGTGATGGGGTGGAACACTCCTAAGGTACTTTATACTGTCATTTGCATAGTCCCTTCATTTAGGACTAATTTTGTTGCATTTTGTCAGCACCTTACTTTTCCAACTGATGAAATCTATGAAACTGTGTCTATTTTTTTTTTCAGGACTGGCGTATTTAAATACGCCATGTGATAGGAAATATGGAGTGAGTGTAAATGACGCCAGTGGTTTGACAGCAGCGTACTCCGTAGCACATGAAATGGGCCACAAGTAAGACTGCGATAACTT